TACACTCACTCTAATTTTGATGTACAATAATTAAAGTAGAGTTGATGAGTAATAAATTCCCATCCATCCCAAAAGTTGAATGATAATAAAAGCAGTAAAAAACACTACCAAGGAAGGTGGTGAATGCTTGCAACATCATAAGCAAGTTTTAGAGTAATAACCTCTTTTAATTTGTATTGTTGTTTTTCCTAACTCAAATATGATTACCTTCTTAAAAGTATACATGTCACTAGATAAAAAAAGTAGTATAACAACACACTCTTGTTGAGTTATGTTATTTGTATAGCAGAAAATTTAACATGTGAGATCATCAATTTTACTCAAAGACTCCATAAAAAGTTAAAATTGTCTTAGACACGGATGATCTGTCTATAAGAGTGTCTTATTCTCTATATCAGACCAATTACGTAATAAACATTTCTCTAAAACTAATGGCTCGAGATAGAAAAAAGTAACATTCTGATTGGCTCGAGATAGAAAAAAGTAACATTCTGATTGGCTCGAGATAGAAAAATGAGATTGCCTAATAAACATTTCTCCACCTTTATCAATCATCAATGATGATGGAGTCTGACTCAAATTCTTCCTCCAACATCTTTTTGTGCGATTACTCAATTACTTATCAAGATGACAGTGGGAGGCATAAAGATTAGAGAAGATTAAAGAGAAGAGTAATTGTGTGCTAACAACACGTCCACTATCATCTTTCTCTCATGGCTTCCTAAGCATATACGTAAATTTCCATCATTTACTTCCCACACCTTTCAACTAGCATCTACTTGATATCCTATGGGTCCCTTTATCAATGCAGGACTAGTTTTGCTTCTGTACTTGAGAACAAGTGTGTGAGTCACAAGAGAAGGTAAAGGAAGTGGAGAGTGGTTAAGGGAAAAGGGTTAACCATTGAGCATATCAAAGTACCCAATTGTTTGACTCTACTATGATGTACCCTATTCCCATGTTTGACTAACATGGATGTTGAAACCTTTATTTCTATTTTAGTGGATTTACTTAAGAGATTAAGATTTGATTATTTGTTATTGTTGTTTTTCTTTTTGGTCACCCAGAGTGGTCGAGCTACATGTAACTAAAGGTATGCACATGCACATCTTGGAAAATTTTCACCTATATCACTTCATTTATATTTTAATACATTTTGTACCATTCAATATAACCAGTATCTCGTGTACCCAACTCCTCTTCGGTACTGGATTATAAGGGGAAATGATGTTTACAGTTTATTTTATTAAAATATAAGTTAAAAATAGGGGCATTGAATTTTTATTTTGGACACATGTCATAATCTTAATATGATAATAGACTCTCCAGGAATGGAGAAGATTCAAATTCGTATCTCATATCATTGGTCTTGAATCCACAACTAGCACCTATTGTTTATTAGCTTTCTTCAACTTTCATAATCATATAGATTTTTAGGAGAGATGAAACCATCAACTAAGCATTTATAGAAATGCAAGTAATGCTAGTGCTCCTAGGCTTTATGAATGGGGCATCTTAAGGAGGCTTTTTATGTGGGCATGCAGGGGTATTGGCAGTACCCTTTTTCTTGATTGTGATGTTGATCTATGTGAATTTACTTTCTTCAACTTATAATAATAACTATTTCAACACTTTACCTCATATGTGACAGGGTAATGAGAAGATGCAATATGTCTCCAAAACTAATGGCTACCACCGAATGGTGCTGGTACTTTAGGCTTATTATGCCTTGTGGAGGTGCTGCTGTTTACACTAAGCATGTCAATTTTGACACATGACACTCCAGTTTTATCTTGATAAGGAGGGACCCAACAACTCTTGGACCACCAATCTTCTATATAATATTGCTTATTTACAGGTCAAGATTCAGGACAATTGCTTTAAGATATTTGTCCCTGTGATGGCCTAAAATCATGTAATTTATACCCATCAAAGTTGTTGATTTATTTTGGGGACTTGAATTCCACTGAAAATTTGATGGATCAGTTGACATGTAGCAGCAGCAACCAGTTGTTCCAGGCTTCCAGCACATAGACATAAAGTAGGTATTAGGTGGGTAAAGACTGCTACCATTATATAATGCACAGTTCAAGTATCCACCACATATATAAATGCACACTTCAATACCATGTGTATATTTATGTACTTTTTAAGCCGACAATACCATAGAGGCATGGACCAATGAAAAATACTATAAATTTTCAGCCAAGTAGTGGAGCCTTGTAATTGCTTTCAATTCCAAAATTAAAAACTAAGAGAAAAAAACTAACTTCCCCCTTCATATTCTGCCTATCTATCTCTCTTTTTTAAGTTGCTTGGTTGGTTTGGCTAAGAGTACTATGTAATAAGAAGTACAAACCTGCTCTATGTACTTGATGCATGTAGAGCAATCACAGTGGGCTTTGCATTTTTATGTACATAATAAATATTGAACTCAATGCAAATTCTGGTAGGCCATACCCATAGGCAAACACTATTGATTGTAAAGTCTTTAATGCACTTATTTACAGCACTGTGGCTTGATGGCCTTTAACTGTAAAGGGAGTGCTGCGGGTGTATATACTCAAATGTAAGTGGTTACAGCAGAAAGTAGATTAGCTATATACTGCAGAATTAAAAACTGAAGGAGCCGAAATTCAGAGGTGCAGGAAAAGTGATTCCAACTGTCTTAGGACTCATAGCTATTACTCTAGTCTTAAAAATGGGATGAAAGGAAAATGACAATATGCCATAAAGAAATGAAATCCTCTATTTTTTTCTTCATAATTTCGGTATCTACAAGCATGAAAAGGATTCATTTTGTTCTGGAGCTTGTGGCATATAAAATCAAAGACAGGCTCCTCCTATTTGTCTATATTCAGAAAAAGAATATGACTGGTTGGTAAGATATAAGGCTATATTCACCTATCCAGCATTTTCTGGTTATTTGGGGCAACAAGAATCATTGAAACAAATTGTCTCATTAGCATATTAGATTGCACAAATCATTAAACCTTGCACTAGAGAAGTTGGTAAAAGGAAAGACTCTGAAGTTTCCATTATCCATTCAGGTCATTGTCATCTGTTCATTTCTCACCATTGTCTGCAGTTGTAGCATATAACCAGCATTAGCATTAAGCTTCAGGAATTAACAAAACTTAATATAGTGCATGCTTAGTGATTTTAATATGTATAGTACTGTATTGATAAATATTAAATACCTAATTAATTGGCAACACGTTTTTATTGTGGAAAGAAAGTTGAAATACTTAAACTATCTAGTTACCAAGTACCAATCAGGTAAACAGACTGAAAAGAAAAAGTTCAAGGTGAGCAAATCTTTGTTGTTACCCCCTTTTTGTTTAATTCTACTTAGTTTCTTTTTCTAAACAATGCTAAATTTAGCTGGCATTCCATCTATAAGGAATTTATATTTGTACTATGTACACTGTTCATCCAAATTTGCAAAAAATAGAGTTCATCTTGGATTCTTAGTGATACTTTGTTAGGCATCTTTAATTCAGGAAATGCTAACAGCAAATTGTATACCTCAGAAATGGTTTCTCTGTCTTTGTAATGCCAGCTTCTAGAAGGGATTCAGTCAACATGTGCAATAACTGTTGATGTTGATTCCATGAAGAACTACCACAAGAAAACTAGCCAACCTGGAAACAAAGAAGTTTCTTATCTAAAAAAGTGACACATGCCAAAAAGCACAAGTAGTAAAATACAGCTAAGAATAAAACAAAACAAACAGAAAAAAAAACAGCAAACATTAGATTGAAGAGGATGAGAGAAACAATCCTGAGAACTGGTCTGTCCAGGTTTTGCTTCAACTTTAACTTGATGTAACTTTTGACACCATAATCAATGAGACCTCCTCCAAAGCTTGCAAAATTGTCCACATATAGCAGAAAACCAAGGTCGAAATTTCACACAAACATAAGGATTTGTTGTGAATGCTTGAAATACGTTATTACATTAGTCCCACATCACCTAGTATTGGAATAGAGTAGAGTAACCAATGTTGTATATTTGACTCAGTTCCCTTTTTGTAATGTGCACCAGATATAAGCACCAAATAGAAATACCCACATGAACACTTGGGCCCATGGGTGTGCTAGAATTTGTAATCTTTATTCTCTAATAATATATTGGTAGCCGCTCAGCGTTCCCGGGAACGTAGGCACAATTGGCCGAACCCCGTTACCAAATTCTTTCTTTCTTCTATTTATTCTATGTGATTGCATTGCTTGTGACCAAGGATCGCTTCCGCTGCACCAACAAGACTAATGGTGCTATTTCTGAAACCTGCATTAAACAAAAACCAAATTTGATTATTACTCAAGAAGAACAATGAGGGGAAGAAGTGTTCAAAATAAGTTCAACAAGTAATGTTCCCAGTAATTCATATAAAGCATGGGAAGAGGCAATATCAGGGATGCTTTGGACAGAAAGTGTATAGATTATATCAATCCTTACTGCAAACATAAGGAAGTGATAATAAAATTGAGCATTAAACAAGCATTCTGTAATCTTCTTTATGTATCACTTTAATCAGAACTTGAAATCCAAATGTGAATTCCCACAAAGATAACACTGCAGAGATTAATGAGCAGGTGGAAGAGTCCAGCATGCAAAATCTGGAATGTGAAAAGACGCCAAGTTTGATGATATTTTTGTCAAAATATGTCCAAAATATCAAATTCAATGTGTTACTTAATTCATGAGACTCTATTATCTAATAGATTAGTCTTTTGGGTTGTACTTTTTGCAAAATATCAACCGAAAACAAATTGCATTTTCTTATTGTTACTGATATATGGCATCAAATTAATTATAACTTTGCTTCAAGTATTGCTTAATTATTGATCTATGCCACAAATTACCTAATTTTCGGCTTCTAAGGAATTTTTCTCTCCCCAAAATCACTTTTGTAGCATCATTTTTTAAGCGGCTTCCAAAAACTAATATCCTTTAAACTGCAAAATATCAACACTTTATTCTGTTATTGTTAACTTATTAAAACCCTAGCTTCAAATGTTACTTAATTATTACTTTCACCAAATACCTATAAAACTAATTACAGAATAAAGAAAGAATCATCGAAGAAAACGAAAACGCAATCACATTAAAAGATGAAATATGTTGAATTAGAGTTGTTCCAGTAATCGCTGACTAGCATCGTCGCTATGAACAGTTGGAAAAACAGTTGAGTAGTTCGTTGGGTTTGGCGGGAAATTGAATCCACTATGTTTTGAAGAAGTAATGATAAGTCATTTAAATGATAGAGAGAATAAAGAATAAGCGGATCCGTGGCGTAATGGTAGCGCGTCTGACTCCAGATCAGAAGGTTGCGTGTTCGATTCACGTCGGGTTCAATTCCCAATTCGCTTAATTTTTTTTCTTCTTCCATTTATTGAATTGTGTTAATCTAATCCACAACCAAAAATAAATAAAGATATGAATTCTCACGAATCAAATCTATGAATTCTAACGCCAGTCCTTCTTTGCTTGCTGGGTCAGTTTTCTAATTTCTCTTATCCGCTGATTTATTGAGTTCATAATTATTAGGTCTATTTTCTCTTCTTTATACTTCAATACTGTTTTCTTGCTCAATTTTAATGTTTTGGGTGATGGGGAATTGGGGATTAAGGTTTGTAAGAGCATGTTTGTTTAGTTTTTTTAACAATCACTTCTGATATTTGCATGATATTCATATGCTTGTTTGAATGCGCTTTTACTAAAAACTTTTATCTGAAAAAAAAATACTGAAGCTCAGCTTTTAGGAGAAGCTGATTTTGTCACTTTGTGGAGAATCACTTTTTTTTAAGTCTAAACAAATGGGCACTTGATTTTGTATTGTGATTGTTGGGCAAGTTATGATGGATAGATGTTCTTTTTTAGTAAAGTTTTATAAGTGTAAGCCATTTTGATGGATTCAACAAATGGATCCCAAACTCTTGAAGAACAAGCCAGAGCATTTTTTGACTCTGCTCCTCCTTTGCAAAACACTCATCAAATAACTCAAAAATTGGACCAATTTATTCAACACAGGTCTTCACCATCAGGTAAGTTCCGTTCTCCAACTCATTGTTTTTGTTTAGTGATGCTTCCATGCATAATGTGTGGTGGATTTGGTACATCCAGCAAATGGAGAAAATCGGAGAATTGTTTGTGTGACATCTGGTGGTACCACTGCTCCATTGGAGCAACGGTGTGTCCGCTATGTTGACAACTTCAGTTCAGGTCATAGAGGAGCCACATCCACAGAGTATGTTGCAGTCGCCGTGTTTTATTATTAAACAGTGTTATAAATCTTTTTGATCCTGTTGACAAGAATACATTGATGGTTGTGTTGTAGGTATTTTCTGAAGGCTGGATATGCTGTTATCTTTCTGTACCGTAGGTGAATTTCTGGTCCTGCAATTTTACTTTGTCCTATGTTTTATGTCTTGGTTTGGTTTGGTTTCTTTTGGGTTTGCTAATTACCTATAAATATTAATGCAGGGGAAGTTTCCAGCCATTTTGCAGATCCCTTCCTGATGATCCCTTAGTTGAATGCTTCGTGCCCACTGATGACTTAAACATTCGAGGTTTCTGTTTCTGTTTTCTCCTCTCCTTGCACTGTTAAAAGGATAAATAAAGCAATGCCCATATCTATAATCTAATGAGCAGCCTTTCACATTAGAGATAACATTTACCATGCACTTGATTCTGTGATAGACTGAAATACTTGTAATTGTATGAAATGGTGTTAAGTGTACAATGACAGCAACCAAAGCCTTTTCCTGCTAGGTGGAATCAGATGTATGGTGTTAATTGTCTCAAGCAATTTTTTTGTAGATGATCATTACTTAGGGTAAGTCTCGGTGCAACAGTAAAGTTGTTTGCCTTGTGACTAGGAAATCACGGGTTCAAACCATTGGGCCTCCCTTTTTTATCATTACTCTTTATTTTGATTCATTGAAGGCTAACAAAGGTCTACCTATAAAATTTCATCATAAATGAGATTTTATTGTCTTTTCCTTGTTCGAATGAAGGCTACTCAAAGAATAATCTAAATTGGCAACATTGTTTCTTTTTAATATCCCTATTTATATTGTTATTTTATACAAACAACTGGGGCTGACTGAATTTTTCTGATTTATGTTGTTTGCGTCAGTTCGTGAAGCTTATTCTGAAGCTGTGAAGAGGGCTGTCGTGGATCATCATGCTGTATGATCTTAGATTAGATTTTGTGATTTACATTTATCTCCTCTGTTTTTTACCCCACTGATTTCATTTGTTCTCTTTTAATGAATTGTAGGCTATAGATTAGTGGATATATTTATAGCCTTATTGAGGTTTTCATTCCATCGCAGGCAGTGACAGGAGGGCTCTTGTTAAAACTTCCTTTCAACACCATATTTGAGTATCTTCAGGTTAGAAGCTTTACTTGCTTTTTTTTTTTTAAAATTTTAAGTACCATTTGATGTTACAAATAATGAAAACTATTGTGTGTACTCTCATCCCCTATCTATGTGGGTGTGTACTGACAATCAAAGTCAGATACAGTTGAATTTTGTGTATTTTGATTTTCATGTGTTTGTGAGATGGAAAGGTAGAGCTACTTCTTGTTTTAGTTTAACTTAATAAGAGGTGTTTAATCAGTAGATTTGACTGTCTTTTCTGATTGTGTAGATGTTGCAACTGATTGCTACCTCAATGAGATGTCTTGGCCCGTGCGCGATGTTCTATCTCGCTGCTGCTGTATCTGACTTTTATGTTCCTTGGAAGGACATGGTATGAATATATGTTAGTTCTTCATTCCATGGAAGTTTAGTATTGACTCTAATATTGGTTTAAACAATTTCGTACTTGGTTAAAGTACAAGAAATTCTTCATTCCCAGAATAATCTTGCACTGCTACTTGCGTCAAAAGATAAAAAAAATCCTTGACTTAGACATTATATAGAGAATTTTCCCACAGCTTCATTTATAATTTGTAACCACAGGAAATGGCACATAGCTTAACTAGCCTTGCTTCTATTTCAGTAAGGTATGGAATTTATGAGGTCGGAGTTATTAAATTTCAACTTCAAGCGAATTTATTTGTTTATCCTGAAGGTAGAACACAAAATTCAGTCAGGATCTCATTTTTTGGACGTGCAACTAGTTCAAGTGCCTAAGATGCTTTCAATGCTTAGAAAAGATTGGGCTCCCCTGGCTTTCTGCGTATCATTCAAGGTATTGATAGTATTTCATAAAAAAACTGTGGAAAAATAACTTGTTATGGAAGTTGAGAATGTTTTGGTCAAAGAACATGCATGAAATGAGTTTAGTTTAACTTATACACGTGATGATATCTTGCATATCAGCAAGTGCCCTTTCTGCAGTTATAGAAGATTAGATTAACATGATTTATACTAATTTTCTAAATGAACTACATTATCTATGCTTTCCACTAAGTAAATGTAGATTGGAGAAATGAAAATGAAATGTTTGAGATTTGAAGTAGCACCTCTACTGGTAGTAACAAAATCCTGCCATATAATGATCAAGTATTGAAGTTAGTGAGGTTATTTTTGTTGTTTTTCAGCAACAGACTTCTAAACATAGAAATAAATGACATATAGGTTACCTTAATACAATGTAACTGATTTGACTAATACCATTCCTACTTTATTGACAGTTAGAGACAGATTCAAACATTCTTCTAAATAAGGCTGCCGCCGCTCTTGAGAAGTACAAGATGCATGCAGTTGTGGCAAATGAACTCACAACTCGCAAGGAGCACGTTGTGGTTGTCACTAGTGCTGACAACATTATTGTTCATCGCGATAAGAGTCACTCTGGTAACGATGTGGAGAATCCCCTGATCAAACTTCTTTCCGAGAGACATGAAGCTTACATTAAGGATTCTAGTAGACTCGTCTAGGGAATCACTTTGGCATGCGTCCCCTGATAAATTTGTTCTTTAATTGTCTGAGACAGTGTCAACTTTGAAGAGTCGTCCTAATAAGGTTCTAACAGACTTTGGAAAATGTATTAAACTTGAAGCTAATCATGTATATGGCATTACTTATCTTGAAAACTCAATTTCTATAGTGGAATATCCATTTCCTTACAACTACATGTACATGTTTCAAAGCGACATGATCAACTATTTTGTCTCTTACTTTTGCAACTCTAAATTTTGCTAGTACTCATTGGAAAAACTATTGAACTATCATGTCTTATTCTATTATTAGGTTTTCCAAACTCCCAACCATTTCCCCAAACATATGCAATTGCACCAAAACATCTTTAACCCGAGGAAATTTTTACCAGATTCCACATGGATGTTGATGCCAGAAAAATACTTCCAGGAAAATTTGTTGACCTAATCCGAATGAAGGATTATGGAACCGACATGATGGAAGAACACGAATACTCAAACTAGGTTTCATTCTTCAAGATGAATGCGCCATTCTAAATTTATAGAAGAGTGCTTGAGTCGTGAAGAAAAATATAAACTAAGTATATTGGCCCTTTACTTTTCATTCTCTTACCATTATATCATCCTTAGAGTTGGGAAACATGTAGCTTAGAACAAGTTTTAACATTGTGTACATATAATAATTACAAAATACATGTACCACTATCTTCTGTGTAATGATAAAACAAAAGATTCTTAGAGGAAGACATTATGTATTGAATCAAATATTAACTATTAGTAAGGGGCATCCAAGTCCTATGTTTCACTAAAGGGCATCATCACTATCTGAATCTAGCTCAAGACCTTCTGCTGCCAAGAGCTGGCTTATTATCTTCTTCTTTTCCTCTTCAGCATTTCTTCTTACCAAATCTCTTTTCTTTAGTATAAGTGTGTGCCTTTTAAGGGTATTGGAGAAATTTTCAGCAGAAGCCTTTTTTTCTCTTGCCAATATCTTCCTTGCCTCATCTAGATCAATCTTAGATTTCACAGAATACATCCAATCAGAAAGAGAAAAAAGTAAATGAATCAACACAAATATGGAATGTGTGATACCAACATTTTCTAGCACCCATTTTTTGGGTGAGAAACAACAATTTGATATGTATATATGAAACTAGAATTCCTTGAAGTTCACTCAAACATGGAAGTGACAATTAACAACTCTAATTTCGTTGGTAGGAAAGAAAAGTTGTTTGTGGTTGGTTGAACAAAATTTGACAAAAATCTGTCTGTCTTGTCTTCTTCGCACAGTCATTCAAGCCGTACAGTAATCAGAGAACATTTTCAAGTATAACTCAATACCTTTGATCGAGAAAGTTGACGCACGCGAATATTCAACTTTTGCTGTTGCTGCTCAGCCCAAGCAGCAACTGCCATATCACCTCGCTGATCAAAAGCTTTTCTCTTTTTCATAAGCCATTCCCTCCATGCCTGAGAG